CTGGGCTCATAGGCAAAGACTGCACTCCAACTACAAGTGGTTTTTAACCCTTAACCCTATCAAAATCACCAGGTGAATTTTTTAAACTACTAACATCTGGGCTGTACCCTGTACCACTGAAACCAGAATCTTTGTGGGTAGAGGGGTGGGAACATTCCAGGCACAGGGACAACTGCAACTGGTGCAAAGGGAGGCGGTGTGGCAGGAGTAGAATGAGGGAGGGAGTGGGCACAAGGAGACAAGGTCAGAGAGGTCAGGGAAGTTTCAGTTACACTTGCTGAACCACCTCACAGTGCACAAAACCACTTTTTTTTATTACGCTTGGGGCTTCTTGTGTCAGGAACGTGGACAGGGCTTAGTGGGAATGTGTGTCTATCACACGTCTTGGGGCTTCAGCTAGGAAGACGGGAACGTCTTAGGGGGACAACTGTCCTATACAGTAGCCACTAGGCAGGTGTGGCTATTTAAATGTAAACTAATTAAAGTGTAAAACTCACCTGCTTCCTCACTTGTACTAGCCACATTCCAGGAGCTTAACACAGAATTGCCAGACTTGGCAAATAGAAATGCAGGACATCCAGTGAAATTTGAATTTTAAATAATTGACAAATAATTTTTTTAATATAAGTGTATCCCAAATATTCCATGGGACATGTTATACTAAAGAAGTATTTGTTATCTGAAATTCAAATTTGACACCTTTGGAAAATATATTCTTGGAGGTGGGGGGGCATCACATCAGGGAGGGCCTTGTAGCTGTAGGGGGGACTTGGGCTTTTATGAGGAGTCACACAGGATATTTTGCAAAGGATCACAATGTGACTCAAAAAGACCCCTTTGGCTGCTGTGTCCAAACAAAACCTAAGTGGTAAATGTCCTCCTGGGAGGTTACTCAGGTTGTACCTAGCCCTGAGCTAGGCTGAAATCAGACCCCACCTGAGTACTTGGTAGTGGAGGAACTGGCTTGCCAATCCCAGCCTCTGGGCCCCCCTTCCCTCCTGGCTGCCCCCAAGGCCCCTACCAAGTAGCAACTCACTTGGCCTCACCTCCAGCCCAACTCTGGGGCAAGTCAGTTTCATTCCCCCCACCCCTGTCCCACCACAAGCGCTTTAACAGACAGTTCAAAAGGGGTCAAAAGCGCTGCAGACAAACCAGACTTTAGAAAACCACATAGTACAAGCCCTGTTGGGATTCGCAGCAGGCGTTTCCAATGTTTTCCTCCCGCTGCAGGCTGGGGATTTCCTGTCTTCTCAGGCATTCACTGAGCCGGCCAAGATCAGCTTCACCGAAGGAAGTTGCTTCACTAGGGCTGTTTGCAGGCTATCTTTCGCTCCTGCTCCCTTCTTCGCCTCCCCTTCAGGTCCTTTTCAGGTATTCCTCCTATTCCTGCCACGTTTTCTGCCCCCAGGTAAATGCCCGCCACTCACCTGTCCACAGAACCAAATTGTGGGCTCATGATACAACAAATGTAAGCAGCTGACAGGCCCAGGGAGCAGTAGCTGGGTCCAGCTGAAATCTTCAAGGCTGGCGCTAGCTTGGAGTTTCCACCTTCAAGCAAGAGCTCAACTGCTTCTTAGAAGCCTGCCTAACCTGGGCAGGGCTATGGGGATCAGGCCTGAATCAGAATAACTGACACACACACAGGTCTAACACCCCAGTAGCACTGTGACCATTGGGAGCATGAATCTTCCCCTCTTGTGGTTTTGCAATGTGGAGGGAACAGGGCAAACACCATGACCTTCATTGTATCTCCAAACCCCATCAGGACAGGAAAGGATCTGCAATGTGGCATTAAAACATAAGTCCAGTAATAAACAGTTCCTGAAACATAAGCAGCTGGCCAGTCTTCCGCCACATCATCCTTGCAGCAAGCTTCAGTGGGAACTCCATACCCTGAATCCCCCAAATCCCTACCCTTTGATTGATGCTAAAAAAAATCCCTTCAAATAGGCACTTTCTTTAGCTGTGGGTGCAACCCATGAACTAATGCACTTTGGTAAGAGCCCACAGGCAATCATCAAAAATAAGTGGCTGTGACCTAGGATTGTGGGCTCTTCTCATGAGTGTTTTGAATATTACAGGTCTCACAATTTACTAAGCTTTAAAGGAGTTTTGTAGGGCATGTATTACAAAGCAATCTCTAATTGGTAAAAATTAAAATTCTCCAGGCCGGGCGTGGTGGCTCACGCCTGTAATCCTAGCACTCTGGGAGGCGGGCAGATTGCTCAAGATCAGGAGTTCGAAAGCAGCCTGAGCAAGAGCGAGACCCCCGTCTCTACTATAAATAGGAAGAAATTAATTGGCCAACTAATATATATATAGAAAATTAGCTGGGCATGGTGGGGTATGCCTGTAGTCCCAGCTACTCGGGAGGCTGAGGCAAAAGGATTGCTTGAGCCCAGGAGTTTGAGGTTGCTGTGAGCTAGGCTGACGCCACGGCACTCACTCTAGCCTGGGCAACAAGCGAGACTGTCTCAAAAAAAAAAAATTCTCCTAAATAGCTCCCAAATCATTCACACCTTCCAGCAAAGGAAAACTTTGGGGGTGAGGGGATGGATGCTAAAGGGAGGGAATGAGGTTGGAGAGGGCGATAGCTCTGTCTGTCTGCAAGGGGCTTGGTGGGAACCTGCAGTGGAAGGACAAAGATGCACAGAGCTGCTTTGGGGCGTCTGGAAAGCTACCCTGTGTATCTCCATGGAGACCATTCCAAAGGGAGAGATAGTCAACAACCAGAAACCTCTAGAAACTAACCGCAACTCTGTCATCTTGAATCATTTTCTGTAAAATACACATATCATGTGGATAGGAAAAAAAATCTGACATTTAACAATTGTTACTTATGAGACGTGGCAAAATAGGGGACTTTTACTTTCTAGTTTATTCATTTTTATATTATTTGAATTCCCTGCATGTATGTATTACTATTATAGTTGGACATGAAGATTAAGAATGAAAAAAGTCAATGCCTTTGAATGGTGACAAACCAAAACTCCAGTAAGGACAGAGTCTGGGAGGCCCACCCAGACAAGAGAGACCGTGTGTATGTGTGTGCTGAGGGGCTGGGGAGTGTATGTAGGAGGGTATCCCTGGACCTGACGGCCCCCAGCTGTCTGACGTTTATAACCAGCCACCTTCTAGGCACGTCACACGGCCCAGCTCTGAAGCCCCATCACCTCACAACTGTTTGACATCACATCCAGATGGGAGTTCTGGGACAGAATGGCCTCAGCAATGGAGGTTGTGTCTTGGGTCCCCTCGAATGTGAGGCCTACAGGAATTCTGGAGGGGACTGGCCAGTCTAGGAAGACACCATCCAGAATTACTTGAAGTAGCACAACATTTCTCTTCCTGCTACCGTGGGCACATTAGCTGCAAGCTGACAAACAGCAGCTCTGCGGAACGCCTGGCTACCCCTCAGCTGTGGAGAGGCCCAAGCAGTGGGTGGCTGGCTGTGCTGGGTGGCCTCTACCACCCATAGGAGGAAGGCTAATGGTGCATGCCACTCAACTCCTCTGCTGAAAACACCTCTGAAAGAAAGTGCCCTGCACAGAGCTGAGCCTGGGCATCTCCAGAAAAAACTCACAACCCCAAAAGGCATGCAAGGCAAATGTCCAGGAAACAGACTCAAAAATGGGGGTGGAACAAATGAACTTGTGGGGAAGCGAGCTGGCCCACCGCTTCTGCTTTGTCATTACAAGTGACCCCATGTATCCTCAACTTTCTACAAAGGCTTTAGAGCCCAGGAGGTGGTCTTCCCTCACTTATCACCAACTCATTTTTCTTTGGGGAAGATGCATTACCTGTGAATTGTGGGTTGTGTGTGCTGGAACACAATTCTCCTAGCTGCATGACCTGGGCAAGTCATAGCCTCTCTAGGCTAGACTCCCTCTAAACCACTTCCCACTGCCTTCATTTCCTGCTTCTTGAACCCTCCAAGGAACAGGACTCATGCACCCCCACATGGGTTTTCCTAGAGGATTGCTACCTATTAAGACTTTCAAAACATAGCACAGAACACTGAAGCATTAAGCTAGAAGGCAAAACAAAAAACTCCCCCACATCCTGAAGTGGCCCAGATTCCAACAGAACATTTCTCCAAGTGTGACCTAAGCCTGTCCCCACTCTCGCAAAGCTCCTCTTGCTGAGGCCTGTTCAGAACCTGCCTCCCCTCAGATCTACCCTCATGGGGCCACCAAGGCCCCAAGGCCAATCACCAGAGCTCCTCTGATCACACCTGCTGCTCAAGCAGCTACGGCACAGGTATCTGGCATCAGGAACACCAGATCTACTCAGAGCCTACACCAAGTCCCCCATCACGGCCAGTATGGAGGTGACAGGCAGTATGGAGGTGACAGGTAGAGACGCGGACAGAGATGTGATTAGGAGCCCTCACTGAAGCTACAACTGCTGAGTTTAAATTCCCTCATTCCTTGCACCATGTTTCCCAACTACGCCTGTGCCCTGAGGGTAGAATGCACATAGTTAAGCTTCAGCTGCCTGTAACTAGCTGGGGAGGAAAGACATCAAGACCAGTTAACTATAAGAAAATTGGTTTGAAAATCGATTTTGCAACCCTCATACCAGTTATAACTGGTTATAACACATGCTAAAAGTGGCGGGTAAAATGCTTTTAACAGTCTCAAAGGATCTTCCCATGAGTTACTTATTATGCATGTAACTAGTAAACCTCACACTACAGAAAATGTGGCAGACACCACCTTAAGTCTCAAGACACACACTTCCTGAGGACACAGAATCCCCATGTTAAAGTCCCTGGCAAAAACCACAAACCTCAATCAAGTCAGGAGCAAATAGACAATCCCAGATGTAGGGAACTTCTCAAAAAGGCCTGTAGTGTCGAAAAATGTTAAGATTAGAACAAAGGCCCCTAGGATGCTGAGCAAGACACTGAAGCCCTCTCACCACAGCCAAGGCTTAGTGCAACTACATTTATGGCACACCCTGCCCTGGCCTTGTTTTCCATAAAAACACTCAAATGGTAGCATGATTTATTATTTTATTATATGCTTTATAAAAAACAAAAGCCCAAACACATGTATCTCCCACTATCATTAGGGAGGGAGTTCACATCTTTCTTATTGGTGAAGTGGCTATCTTCTAAAGGAGGCCCCATTATTTTTTTCTCTATATAGCCTTAGATACATCTCTTCCCCCCTTCAAGTATTTATATCCCAACTATAAAAATGGAGCTGCAAACAGTGTATAAAGATATGAGATTTTCTTGTTGTTGTTATAGTACAAACACTTGAGGTAATGGGAGTATTAGGGCAAAAAAAATATTAAGGAATGGAATGTCTTACCTGTGACAAAGTAGCTATTTGTTGTAACTGGCACCTCCCTGACAATTAGTAGGGACATGGGCACACAAAACATGAGACAAACACGGGCCAGGTGACTGCTTCTACTTGTTTCCAAAAGGCACATGTCTCCTACACCCTTCCTTAGTAACTAAAGACAAACTATAGAAAAACTCAGTATTTAGATTCTGCTCACTTTGAGGTATTAAATGCATAAGGAAAAGATTAGTTACGTCCAACGAGCATGCAATAAAAATTTTTAAACCAACATGGTTAAGTGTTAAGATTTTTAGAAATCAAAATATTTATTCACATAATTTTAAACTAAAGTCAAAACTAGTAAGTCTTCCGTGGTAATGATTTAAGTGCAAGTGATGCTTGGCTTTCTTTCACATTCATTTCCTTCCTTCAGAGTAAAGGCAGATCAGTTGTTCTTGAACAAGTCAATGCAGCTCTGCAAGAGGGAGACATTGTTCTGGAAAAAGAAAGTCAAGGTAGACCAATGAATCACTCGAGTCTAAGATTTGCTATATAGCTGTAAGAATACAACACAAGGCCGGGCGCTGTGGCTCACGCCTGTAATCCTAGCTCTTGGGAGGCCGAGGCGGGCGGATTGCTCAAGGTCAGGAGTTCAAAACCAGCGAGACCCCGTCTCTACTATAAATAGAAAGAAATTAATTGGCCAACTGATATATATATATATAAAATTAGCCGGGCATAGTGGCGCATGCCTGTAGTCCCAGCTACTTGGGAGGCTGAGGCAGAAGGATCACTCTAGCCCAGGAGTTTGAGGTTGCTGTGAGCTAGGCTGACGCCACGGCACTCACTCTAGCCTGGACAACAAAGCGAGACTCTGTCTCAAAAAAAAAAAAAAGAATACAACACAAGTCCACAGACACAGCCATGGCTTTTCTGAACAGAGATCTGTCACCAGCCAGACTAGGCTGACACTACTCTTCCTTCATTAAATCTCAGTTGGCTGCAACCTGCCCCTCATCCCTAGGTCATGCTGGAAGAGTTGTCTCTGTGGGTCTGGGCTGTTTGTTGCTGGGAGAGGCTCCCAGCGAAAGAGCTACAGCACCTTTGCCCTTACCTGTTTCCTCCCAAATGTGATTATGTCAGCCCTGCTTAAAGTCTTAACCTAAACGCTATATAAACGAGTTGTTCTGGCCAGGTGTGGTGGCTCATTCCTGTAATCCTAGCACTCTGAGAGGCCAAGGTGGGGGGATTGCTTAAGATCAGGAGTTGCTGAGCAAGAGACTCCATCTCTACTAATTAGCTGGGCATTGTAGCACACGCCTGTGGCCCCAGCTACTTGGGAGGCTGAGGCAGGACAACTGCTTGAGCCCAGGAAATTTGAGGTCACTGTGAGCTAGGTTGATGCCACAGCACTCTAGCCTGGGTGACAGAGCAAGGCTCTGTCTCAAAAAAAAAAAAAAAAAAAGTGTTCTATGAAGTTGAAGGCCTTAGAAAGACTGGTTACTAAAAATCAGTCATGGGTAAGATTACATATGAGATTATAAATAATATTCATACAGGAACCTGCAAAAATTGCTTTATAAAGTCCTCACATTAACTTCAAAAGGCAAGTAACTATAAACACATCTATGTTCTAGTCAAAACAAAGGATTTTCCAAAATACGTAACAATGTTTTAAGTCTTCCTACTTTAATCAAAGCTGAAAGCCAGTGACAATTCCCTCCTGTGGCCTCTCAGGTCTGAGGACTGACTTAGCTGCCCTGAACGAGGTTGCACTCTAGGGCCAAGCTGAGTCCTGAAACCACCCCCAGAAACTGAGTGTGGGAAGCACCACATTCCTAAGAGATCCCTAGCAGAGCACACTTGCTCTCCACTGTTTCTGAGCTACAACAGGATTATCAGAATACACTTAGCAAACCAGAAAGCAATTTCTTTGAAAAACGGTTTCCAAGAAAGCAAGATATTGAAGAGCTTATTGATAAACTGGGTTCTTCAGAGAGTGGCCTGCAAAGGCCTTAAAGAGTCAGGCAGGGCAGCCTCCACCAACAATGCTCCTCTCAAGAAAGTATTTCAATGCCTGTCCTTTGCCAGATCAAAAAAAAAAAAAAAGAAAGTATTTCAAGATGTGAATTTATGGTTTGCTGTAGCAAAAATACTCCCATTATTGCCTTCCTCTACAAGTATTAATAGCATGGGGTAACCCCACTGTTTGATGACACTGGGATAAAAATTTAGGGGGGAACCCCTAACAAGTTGGATTAATTTAAGAAAAAAAAAAAACAAAAACCAACAATAACCACTAACAACCAACCCCCCCCCACTTACTCTGGCATGCTTTATTTCCAGTTCAGACATCTCGATTAGATTCTTTCTAAATGCTGCCACTCTCTTCCGTTTGAAATTTACCAGTTCTATAGGAAGAAATAGTTAAAGTTTACAAATCCAAGAACAAGTCTTATATTCACTTTTAACTTTCAAATATTCCTAACAAATAATCTCCAAAGGTTTCACGTACAATCATTATTTTCTCACATTATCTCTGCGACTGCGACACATACTAAATATCTTATGCTCACTTTGGTAATGTGGATGTCATTGCTTTTAAGTAGACAACAGCACCCAATCAGCAAGCATCGTTACTGGGAGAATGGCAGCTGACTACTTGGGGAACATGTGATGAGCAGCACAGGTGCTGATGACGGAGGACAAGGTTGAAGGAGGGGTGGTGGTGAGCCAGACACACTTCACTTCACCACTGGTTTTTGAAAACAGGGTGACAACTCTTCTCAAAAGTGGCTAACAGGCCTATGAAAATGTTCAGCATCACTAAGGACTAGAGAAATGCAAATTAACCACAATAAGATTATAACCTCACATCTTTAGAATGGATTTTATCAATAAGATGAAGTTAACACAGCCATTATGGAAAACAGAACTACCATATGATCCAGAAATCCCTGTTCTGGGAATATACTCAAAGGAACGGGGAAGCCAGTATGTCAAAGCATTCCCATGTTCACAACAGCCAAGTTATTAAAATAAATGTAAATGTTCATCAATGGATAAAGAAAATGTGGTATATTAATAGATACACAATAGTATTCAGCCTTTAAAAAGAACAAAAGTCTGTCATCTGGGACAACACAGATAAATCTACACACTGCAAAGTAAAATAAGCCAGGAACAGAAAGACAACTATTGAATGATCTCACTTATAGGTGGAATCTAAAAAATAAGGCAAAATTGAGAGAAGAATGATGGTCACCAGAAGTTGGGGGTAGGGCGGGGCAGTGGTGAGAGAAGTACAGGAAAGAGAGAATTGCTGCTCAAAGGATATAAAGCTTCAGCTAGACAGTTTTGAGATCTGTTACACAGCAGGATGACTACAGTCAATAGTAATGTATATTTCAGGCCAGCGTGGTGCCTCACGCCTATAATCCTAACATTCTGGGAGGTGGAGGCAGGAGGATTGAAGGTCAGGAGTTTGAGACCAACCTGAGCAAGAGCGAGACCCCGTCTCTACTAAAAATAGAAAGAAATTAATTAGCCAACTAAAAATATATAGAAAAAATTAGCCGGGCATGGTGGCGCATGCCTTGTAGTCCCAGCTACTCGGGAGGCTAAGGCAGGAGGATCGCTTGAGCCCAGGAATTTGAGGTTGCTATGAGCTAGGCTGACGCCACAGCACTCTAGCCTAGGTAACAGAGCAAGACTCTGTCTCAAAACAAAAAAAAAAGGCATGTATATTTCAAACTAACCAGGTAAATTTCAAATGTTAACACCACAAAAAATGTTAAGTGAGGAGACAGACGTTGATTAGCTTTATCTAATCATCTCACATTATATAATACATATATTAAGTCACATTATACTCCTTAAATGCAACACAATTATGACTTATTAAATATTTTAAAAATTAAAAAATAAAAAGGGAAAAAGCCATTACTCTCATGTTTATTTATTTATTTATTTTTTTTTTGACAGCAGCCTGTATCTGTATACTCTCATGTTTAAGATAGATTTACTTTGGATATGATCTGTAAGACATGTCCCTGTTCTATCTTTTCTTTTCCTATTGCCACTCTCAGGATTCAGGATTAATGACCTATTGGAAATTAAAGTAAGCCAAGAAAATGCACTCCCTCTGATCCCTTTATTAGGTTTGTGACATTAAGTTCTGCCTTGCAGATTTACTTTTTTTTTTTTTTGAGACAGAGTCTCACTTTGTTGCCTAGGCTAGAGTGAGTGCCGTGGCGTCAGCCTAGCTCACAGCAACCTCAGACTCCTGGGCTCAAGCGATCCTTCTGTCTCAGCCTCCCAAGTAGCTGGGACTACAGGCATGCGCCACCATGCCCGGCTAATTTTTTCTATATATATTAGTTGGCCAATTAGTTTCTTTCTATTTATAGTAGAGACGGGGTCTCGCTCTTGCTCAGGCTGGTTTTGAACTCCCGACCTCGAGCAATCCGCCCGCCTCGGCCTCCCAGAGAGCTAGGATTACAGGCGTGAGCCACCGCGCCCGGCGCAGATTTACTTTTAAACTTTGGCCATCACTCCTTTGGTAAAAAACTTTGGAGCTCCAACTGGTACTCAAGGGAACTCAGAAGTCACTCTCCTGTCTGTCTCTATAGTACCGCCCAAAAGAACTACAATGAATGCAGCCACACTAAAATAAAAAGTCAAATTTTACAGAGTTATGTTAAGTATATAGAGCTAACACTGTAATGACAACCTCCTGGATATCCTAGGTCAATCAGGTCTTCCCAGAGGTCAATATAAGCTCCCTTCTTCCTCTATACCTGCACATAGGTCCAGGCCATCTGTACACAGGACCACAGGAGACAGATACACATTAATATCCATCTCCTGTGATACCTGCCCTCACCACCATTTTTGTGTTATGTTCCTCAAACTGACTGAACTCGTATAGTCAGCTCAGATACAAACCTTAGAAAGAACTCATACCAAAGGCAAACAGGCTAATACTTAGCAATCTCAGCATTCTACAGAATACTATACTTTTAGTATAGTATACCTAGGCTTACATTTTGAATAGAGGATATAATCAAACAACACAAGGGGATAGCTTAGGTAGTTTAGGCCTAAATTGGCACCATTCTGACTTTTGTGGTTTTTCTTTTATCTCCTCTAAAACTGTCAAGAGCCACTAAATTGGCCTATATAATAACCTTTCAACTCAGAGTTCTGAAGTACATACTTTTCCTTATAAGCTTATTAGCTCTTAAAAAAAAAAAGAAAGAACTATAATAATTTAAGAATGGGGCAGTATATGAAGGTTACTTTGGAAAAACCCAAAAACAGCCCAGTGCGTCTGCATGACATTGCCAAGTTCCAATAAAGAGAAGCTCTGTGCCTTACAGTTAAAGACAAATCCCAGAAAGCCTAGGTTTAGACACGCCAGGTAGCTTTCAAGCATGTTACTAAACAGAGACCATTGGTGTCATAGGGACACTACCAGACATGCCTAGATTTTCCTATCATTGGAAAAACAAAATATGCCTGAGAAAACTAAATGAAATGGGGATTTCCACTTTCATGAAGGCTTGTTTATTTAGGGGGAAGTAGGGGTTGAGTCAAGTGTAGTGTCCTACTATTATTACATTCACATTCTGGGAGATACATTTGAACATTTGCTCTACAACCTTCCATGGCCTCTGAGAACGATCCCCACGAAAGATCCTCAAGATCCTCTAGGGTAAAGACTACATATTATGGCCAGGTGTGGTAGCTCTGTAATTCTAGCATTTCAGGAGGCTGAGGCATGAGAATTGCTTGAGGCCAGGAGTTCAAGACCAGCCTAGGCAATAAGCCAGGCATGGTGGTGCCTGCCTATAGTCCTAGCTACCTGGGAGGCTAAGGTCAAGGTTGCAGTAAACTATGATCGGGCCACTGCACTCCAACCTGGGTGACAGTGAGAACCTATCTTTAAAAAAATAAAAGGGAAAGAAAGGAAGAATAAAAACTACATACTACATTCATGTTCAATGGAAATGGTGTACCACCTCCCAATAAAGTTAACCTGAATTTTAAAACTCCCCTGCTCTGGAATACAGGAAGGCAAGAAAGAATCCTGGACATGGACTGGAAGTCAGTATAGTCTCAGCATCCCTGAAACCTGTGTATGTGTGCAACTAACTCTGTGCGTGTACACACACACCTACATTTCCTGGCTCCATCTGCCAAAGAGGGCCTGGAGAGAGACACCCCAGGAACAATGAACACAATTAGCATATCAGACATAAAATGAATAAGAACTGTTCCAGAGTAAAGGACTAAGAGCTAAGATAACTAGATGAAATCCTCGACTGGTTCTTATAGTGGAGTACATTACTGATACAGTAGATGGGGGCAAAGTGCTGACACTGGATGATGCCAGGTGAAGGAAGATGGGTGTTTTTTGCACTATTTGTGCAACTTTTCCTCTGTAAGCTTGAAATTATTTCCAAAGAAAAGAATATCCCTGCTTGACCTTCTTTTGCAGATTCAGAAAGCTGTTCAAATTTCTGGCAGCATTCTTGCTGGTGTGCCTCAGCCATTTTGACGTCTCTGCTTTTTAACCGGGCCTTATCCAGAGCTTTGTTTGAGTTCTCATAGTCAATGAGGGCTTTGGTGCGTCTGTATAAGAGATCCTGAGAAGGAAATTAACAGGCACAACATAAACTACAGAGAACTGGAGGACTAAATAAATATCTAAACCAGTCTAACCATGTACCCAATGCCAATACACTGTCTAAATTGTTAGATGGCAAGAACCTAATCAACCCTTACACCTCCCGTTTCCACTGTTATTTAATCTCCAGCTTCAATAGGGATGAGCAACTCTGGCAGCACTGTTGAGAGCTTTTCCCAGAATTCTTTATATGGCCAGGGGAAAACTCCAATAGAGTTAAAAACAGAATAATTTTTTCCCAGTTGATTCAATAACTGTAGGTAATTTCAAAAAACTAAACACTGTATATCAAAACACATGTACAGTTATTGCTGGGCAGTTATACGACTGGGCAATGTGACAGTAAGAAATATATAACCCTTCTCTGCAAACCCTGCTTCTGGTAATCTAACCTGGGGATCCATCTAATCTGAAATAAAGATTCTTCCTAAATCTTATAAGCAAAGAAGATACCTCAGTATCTAAAATTAGCAATTATGATGCATAGATTATGCAGTTCTTAAAAACTGGCACAATAATTAAAGCCATGTGAAACTATCTTATCTACTTTTATATATACTTAAAAAATTTAAAGTGAACTCTTAATTCCATGAAAGGAGAATATAAACTATACATCTAAAATGCATAATAAAAGGTCCAAATAAGACTAATAAAACATGTCAAACGGGCCGGGCGTGGTGGCTCACGCCTGTAATCCTAGCTCTCTGGGAGGCCGAGCTGGGCGGATTGCTCGAGGTCAGGAGTTCGAAACCAGCCTGAGCAAGAGCGAGACCCCGTCTCTACTATAAATAGAAAGAAATTAATTGGCCAACTAATATATATATGTATATAAAAAAATTAGCCGGGCATGGTGGCGCATGCCTGTAGTCCCCAGCTACTTGGGAGGCTGAGGCAGAAGGATTGCTTGAGCCAGGAGATTGAGGTTGCTGTGAGCTAGGCTGACGCCATGGCACTCACTCTAGCCAAGGCAACAAAGCGAGACTCTGTCTCAAAAAAAAAAAAAAAAACCATGTCAAACGGCAAATTAACCACAAAAAAAAAGTACACTATTTGGGAAAAATGTATTTTTACTTTCTGATAACATTTCCCCTTGTTATACATATCCTTAGAAGGTACAGAATACTACCTACTTAATTTTATGTTGCCTGATTTAGCACATTTCATGTAAAATTAACTTAAACATTTTGTTTGGGGCAATTAAGAAAGTTAAGAATGCATGTTTAATTCCCAAATATTCTATTTATAGCTTAGTCTAGTTTTTCATAAGTAACGGATTATGGCTCAAAGTCTACAGAGACAGCTATAATTCGATAAAAACTCACAACCCCCCCAACCTTTTCTGCCTCAGAAATAGCCCTTTTGGCATGTTATATCCACATCAAATAACCTATAATGCCAAAAACTATTACTCCATACAACCCCTACAGTGCTGCCTACAATATAAACTTTAAAGATACAATGCCACAGAAAGGCCTATCATTTACACAAACACACCTGACAAATTCCTATCTTCCTCCTGAGGATAAAGTAACTTCCCTTTTAAACAAAGAAAATACATCTCCTAACATGAAACTTCTCTGTTCATGGCAAGGTCTTGTACTGCTCCAATAAATAAAACAACTTCTTGTCTTACCTTGGCAGCCTCTATGTTGAGCATGTAGTATCGGAGAAGCTCTGTCAGCTTTAAATCTTCATCTGATGAGACTCGACCCTCTACTTTCTATTTAAAAAAGTAAAGGTCACCATCAAGGCAGAAATCTACAGATTATAAAATATGTATTATAAAGACTGACACAAAAATCCTTACCCTAAGTTTTTCAAATAGCTCAGCAACCTTCAATAGGTACCTGAAAATATACACATAATTGTGGTTTAAGGTTTTAAATAAACTATGAAATATGATCTTATCAACACTCTAAGATATGAATGAATAAACTCAGAAGTCCTAGCCTTTAGCACTTTAAAATAGTCCTTTCATTCCAACTGGCCTAGCACAGTAGAGAGAGAATGGTTACTGTGTCACCCAGTGGCACCTCTCTTGGTGGCCTTTTAGTCATCTTGCCATGTGACCAGGATAATTCTTATCAGACACAATGCTGTATTAACCAAGGTCAGGTTCTAACGAGCTACCCCTGTGGCCATCACAGCTATAAAATACGCTACTGCTTCATTTGTCTTCTGCCGTTAACTTGACTTTCAATTTCAAATCAGAAGTAATACCACCTGTTATTTCAAGCCTAGGTATTAAGCAAAATACTGTCTTACACCAGAAATGCCCAGGAGGGAGAGCTGTGAAAAACATATATAAAAATAAGTACAAGATCAGACTGAGGTGATTATAGTATTTTCACGACCACCACAACCAAACCAATAAAGTCCAGGACACTATGAGGCAAATGACAAGCACCAAAAGTGCCAAAAGATAAAAGGTAAATTTCTCTCAAAGACAAGTCCAAAATTAAAACTGAGACATTTAAGTTTGACAGAAATAAAGGCTTTGGCAACAGCTATCAAATTTGTTCATCTACAGAAGAGCTTTCTAAGTCCCCTACTGCCTTAGAAGTGTCTTAAGTACTGAGGATATAAGATGTGAGAGCTGAAGACTTTCCTTAATGAGCTTGTATCTCCTATCTCATCTACAAAGCAGAACTGAAACTATGTAGCCATTACTTATTATTCTTACAAGTATACACTCAGCACCATAAGTATACTTCAATTAAGTAATAGCAAATGCTTTTCCAACAAAAACTTACTTTTTGATGACCGTGGGCTCTTCCAAAGCCAGGCTATGCAAGCAGGCTGCAGTGTGGATATAGTCATCAGCAACATCTGCAGAAACAAGGATAGTCCTTTTTAGAGGAACAAAGCCAGACACATTAGCAAAGCTCTAAGTAGCCAGGGAATGAATGGTACTTACTTTTATGAGATCTGGTCATTTTGTCAGCTTTTACACAGGAATCCTTGATCCTATTGTAATAATTAATAAGGAAGTTCTTCTCTTGCTCAAAGAAGTCATCTACCTCCTAAACGGAGGAAAAAAAGAAATTTAAGAACTAGACAATTCAAGAATGTGAATATATATATTTTGTATTAGAATTACACAAATTTATAACACACTATTTCATAACCAAGACTGGTAAAAATCAAGGGCTGGCAGGAACTGTCAACAGAGGGAACCATTTTGAAGGACAATTGGCAATGGCCAATAAAACCCTGGTACCCTAGGACCCAGCAATTTCTACCACTAGTGCAGTGGTTGTAAGTGGGAACCTGCCACCTAGCCTTGGATACCTGCATCTGTGTGTAGGTGTTTCCCCCAGCCAATCTGGTTGGTTTTAGACTGGGAGGCAATACTGACATCTGATAGGCACTGGCCATGGATGCCAAACATCCCATAATCCCAACCTATAGTGAGTTGTATAATTATTTCATTACATATTACAATGTAATAATAGAAAGTGCACAATAAATGTTAATGTGCTCGAATCATCCTCAAATTACGCTCCCCCAGCCCCCTGGTCCACGGATATATTGTCTTCCATGAAAATGGTCCCTCATGCCAAAAAGTTTAGGGACCACTGCATAATACATAGATAGAGGACAGTCCAAAGTATCTTAAACTGGGCCAAGAATAGTCCAAAAGTTTCCAAATTTCTGACAATGTCCTCTCTACTTAGCACCTGGATTCTGGATTCCCTACTCAAGTCCTAGACTTGCAAAGCCAGACACCAGGTATTAATAAAGCTAACTTAGTTAAAAAGGAAAGGGAAGGCCTGAGGTGTGAAGAAATAGATGACACCTATGAGGGTAATGAGAGACTTGCATATTCATTTTTATTTTCTATTAATAGCACTATTCAATAGAAATGTATGAGCCACATGTACCATTTAAACATTTTCTGGTAACCTCACTCTGAGGTAAAAAGAAACAGGTAAAATTAATTGTAATAACATTTACCACACTATACATATATATAGAAAAAATGAGCCGGGCATAGTGGCACATGCCTGTAGTCCCAGCTACTCGGGAGGCTGAGGCAGAAGGACTGCTTGAGCCCAGGAGTTTGAGGTTGCTGTGAGCTAGGCTGATGCCACGGCACTCTAGTCCAAGCAACAGAGCCGGACTCTGTCAATCAATCAATCAATCAATCAAATTCAGTTCCTTAATTGTGCCAGCTAAGCTATATGCCAAGCATTCACTTGTCACCTCTGGCTGGTGGCCACCACAGTGAACAGTGTAGTTCTGGAGAATGGCGTAAAACAATCTCACAGCTTATTTTTTTAAAAAAATTAATTAACCTCTCTCCTTACAGAAAAATGAAGATACAAGTGTCAAAAGGTTCCTGCCACCTCTCTGGGGATCATGAACAAGGTGCTTTGTGAAAACTGAGTAAGTAGATGAAAATGACCAAAATTTGAAGAAAACTTACACTTCTTAAAAGTTAACCATTTGTATCACAAATAGTCTCTTCCAATGACATAAAAGGTCACCTATTCCTCTAAATCAAGAATTTTCTCAAACAGCCAAAAGCCACTTACCTTAACTCCAGAAAAAAGGACTTCATCAGCACTTTTCACTACACTTTTAAAAAAACCACCAAACATCTCTTTGGTATTTTTCCGTCTAACACTGAGCTAAAGGAAAAAAAATTCCAAAAGAACATTTTATCATATTTTCCCAGGTTCTCTTAAAGAAATTATGATTAACATTCCAAGTAATCTTTTTTATTAGTATAGGCACATGTATAAGATACCTTTAATTCTCTCTTAACCACCAAATCTAAAACATAAGGAAAAACCTCCTAAACATAGGCTACCTCATTCTAAAAGGCTAACTTAAGAGATATTTTGAAAAACTGTCTAGGCATTTTGTCTTAGTGGCTTTTAAATCCTTGGTAGAATTATTGTCCTGTTCTATCCACACTGTTTGTCTAGCTTCACCAGACAGAAGACACTGAAAAAATTTCTAAATTGGAGCTTTCTCACATAATATTAAGTAGCAAGAAAAACAAACAAACAAACAAACATACAAGTCTCCTTTCTACAAAAACAGTAGCCAGGAAGAAAACAGCCAGGTGCCATGGCTCAAGCCTGTAAGCCCAGCAACTAAGAAAGCTGAGGCAAGAGAATCACCAGAAGCCAGGAGGTCAAGACCCGCCTGGGCAACAGATCGTGTTCGCATCTCTACAAAAAGTTTAAAAATTAGTTAGGGACAGTGGCACACCTCTGTAATCCCAGCTACTTGGGAAGATTGCTTGAGCCCAGATTTTAAGGCTGCAGAGTGCTGATTACACCATTGCACCCTAGCCTGGATGAGAGAGCAAATACCCTTTTCTCTTAAAGAAAAAAATAAAATAAAAAAAGATCAATTTACGTTCACTCTAACAAACCCCAACAGAACTGAGTGAGAAAACTAATCTTTGGAAGGGTAAAAAAGTCAAAATTTTCTTTAAGCAGAGTTTCACAAAAATGGCACATGATAAATCTATTGGCTGGGGGGAAGAGCATCTAAAGAGGTTCCACTGTATAAGAAATTTAGAACTTATAGACTATTTTTCAAAAAGTATAAAGTATTTTGTTAAAGTCTTAAAACATTTTTAACTATATCATGGAAATGAAATTAAAATGTCTTACATCCTGATCATATTCTAGGAAAACATGAAAGTTGCGATCTTTACTGAGAACAGGGTGAGAAGAAAGCCGCTGAAGAAAGACTTCATGGGAGGATACAGTCTTCTTAAAGACAGCGAGATATTCACTGAAAAGAGACACACACAGCATTCAGTTGGCATGGCTCAATACCTGACCAATACCACTCTCACTAACCCTACGGTTCTGCTGGTGCCACTACTACATGAAATACGCAACTAGATCAAAACTATTTTGGTATAACCTGGTATCTAGTTAGGCATAAGGCAGTTGCCATTTTGGAATCTGTGGAATGAACCAATGGAGGAAAAGTGATGTTACAGCTGGATTTAATGGATCAAGTTTGAGAGCCCCTAAAACTCCATGCAATTACTGCTATTATTTAGCAGCCACAAAACATTCGTTTCTATAGAACAATGAAATCCCTTTAATTCTGCCGCCATGTGTGCAGCGTGACTCTAACAAAGTTTGGAATTAGCAGAAATTATAAAGCAGCTGTATCTCAATTTAGACATTTAAAGATCACTTTAAACCTCCCAACTGTAGAAACTTGGGTGTGTTGTGTTCAGTGCTTTACCCCTAGAACTGGTCATGATAGGCACTCACGTGTGTGCTAAATGACTCAATGCCTGGAGTGTAAGCACTGCCCTAGATAATATGGGCTTGGGCAGGGCAGCTGATGATGGAAGAGGGGAGGGGTGAATGTTTTTGAACCAAGAAAAGAAAAGTTCAAGGATGGTTTAACAAAAAACTTTTTAAAAATCCAATTTTGTTTGAAATAATTAAGTGACAACCAGATTTTAATATGCTGCCTATAGAGCTGGACTTCTTTTTGAGACAGGGCCTTCTCCCTCCGTCACCAAGGCTGGAGTACAGTGGTGTCATCATAGCTTACTGCAGCCTCAACTCCTGGGCTCAAGCGATCCTCCTGCCTCAGCCTCCCAAGTAGGTGGGAGTACAGGTGCACACCACCACGCCCAGCTAATTTTCCTATTTTCTGTAGAGGTGAGGTTCCACTCTTGCTCAGGCTAGTAAGACTTCCTCTTTCAAGCCATCCATGTGGTTATTCAGAATGCTGCTTTGTAACTGTACTCGCTACAATCTAGTTTCTCCTATTCTAGTAACCAAACTTCAAAAGAAAATCTGTATATCATGAGCAGCTTAAAAAGTAATTTCTAAAGACACAAAGGTTTATTTCTTCACTATGCCAGACCAGCATTCCCTAGTGAGTATGGACTAGTTTTTTAGGGTAAAAAAGGTCTATCTAGTAGTGTCAATGGCCTCTGAACTCAATATACAAAGATAAAGACCATGTCCCACCTAACCTCTGCAAAATGTAGTTTTATAAAACACAGTAGGCAACTAATTAACAGCTATACTTTTAATTAGGTTCTTGTACTTATTTCTGTACACAGCACCATTATTCTACTTTCCAAAAGACAGGGCTGGGTGGGCACAGTGGCACACATAGCCCTGTGATCCCCGCTACTCAGGAAGCTGAGGTGGGAGGATCACTTGGGCCCCGAAGTTCAAGACCAGCCTCAGCAACATAGCAAAATCACATCTCAAAAAATAACTGAAAGATAAAGCCCACTAAGAAAATGCACTTACGCTTCCAGTTCTTGTTTCATCTTGGCAAATTCTTCTTTGGTCATAGACCCTTCACCCTCTCCCAATTTCTGCATCTTCTCTCGAGGGCTGTCAAAGTCGGGCTTTGTAGGAGCAGGTGGAATCTGCAGCAGAGGCAGGCAACTCATAAGCCTCCAGGCCCAGCAGTGATGTTCTAGTTTGTGCCATATGCAACTCCTGTAAGTTTTGGTGCACAGGAGGCAGCTATGCAAGCGGAGCTGTCTAAATACTATTTTTCTCTTAACCTTATTCCTTCTAGCCATTTAAAAGAAGCGTCCCCCTCAGAGTCGGGCACTCATTTTGACTGTAATCACCTGCTCACTTTACCTGTTACAGACAAGTGGTAGATCACAGCAGTGTCTATACTGCTTCAATATTGGCCCAAAACTAGTATCATCAATGCTAAAAACTAATGATTAACCATCAAGATTATGAAGTTTCCAGGCTTCAAAAGGAATTTCCTAATTCCAAAGGATAATCAAGATTTTAATTATGAATGAACAGAACATTCCTAAACACAAGCTTCAGTACTAATTTTGTTTAATTATTAAGCAATCATCATTTGGGCAGACTCCTCAGTATGCCTGGCAGGACAATAAAGACATACTTCAATCTCCCTTAAAATCACCCAAGTCTTGGTTCCAGCAGCCAAGAATTAACTGAAAACTGCCTCCCTCCTTACTCCTTGAAAAATCTCTTCTACCACCAATACTGAGGTGTCCTGGAAATCAATTCTACCATACCGGGAAGAAAACACCAGAGGAAAAAAAACAAACCTATGGGTAGGTATAACTTAAATCATTAAACTATTTACCCTCTTACGATGTACAGAACTATGTTTCAATTCATAGCTATAATATATTCTTCACATATTTTAGACTTTACCAGTAACCGAGTTAGCAAATACCCTAGTAGGCAGATGAAATCAGACTTTTCATAATCCATTATGGTGCGGGCAGAAGTCTCTTTAAACAAAATGAATAGCAAGGTAGAAGAAAACTAGGGTAATTATTTGATTTTTCTAAAGTGTACTCACAATAAAGCCAGCATAGTCTGTTGTTTCAATCAGAGTGTCATGTAGCCACACAAAGTCCTCATGTTGCCTTGTAACAGAAAACTCTGGGCTCTGAAACGCGGGCAGTGTGGTCTGTAAAGAAAGGAGGGAGAAATTAACTGGTTACCATTACTTTTAGATTAGGTGGCTCGGGTTTCCTGGGCTGAACAACGGAAAAATTCTCAATAAAACATCACAATAAGATCCAATAAAGAACAATGCAATAATACAGGATCTCTCCTTGCTACTATTAAAGCCTCAACTAAGATTCAACCTAGTCTCTAAGGCATTCTTTTCACAAAGCTTCACCTTTCTGAAGCTTGCAATGAACATCCAAAGAGGCAAGAGACTATCAGAAAAAGTTAAGTTCCAGGAAGTTAACCCTAATTTTATTTCTGAAAAAGTCTGAACTTACCCCAGTTATAGCAAAAAAGAAAGTATATTACAGTTTAAAAAAAATCTTAGCCACAGTTTACTACTGCTCTGGAAATTGTCCTTGCCTTCCCTTTTATTCCAGTGAATGCTTATTTCACCTTCTTTGATCAGATTAACCCAGGCAGAGAATCACGTGGACAGTCTTTACACAGTCTCCTGTATAACTGAGGTATGCTAACCAAGCCACCAAGGCATTAAGGAAAAAACTGTGGGGGGAGGTCCTTCCAACTTAGTAAATATGAAAAACAGGCCACAGACAGGTATTTCCCTTAGATGCAAATTAAAAACAAAGGTGGAAGATGTGAGCTGCCTAGGTAGATGGTCCACCTACTGCTTCACCTTGCCTGGTACACTTTCCCATGAAACAGAGTACAAGACACATAAGATCTGCAATACCTACAACCCTAGGGCTCTGCCACAGTAGAAATGCTGAAGCCCTTGTCTTATGCAAGTAAGACTGATAAGTGAGGTCCCCCAGTTAGCAACAGTGCTACATTATAAATAAATAGCAACCATTTCAGCTCAGGAAATCTCTTCTCTCATCCACTGTAACTAATAAGGCTAATACAACCTAGCACTGTTTGTATTGCAAAGTCATTCTGTCACTTACCTTGGTGTGCACTGTAAATTTAACCTTATCTCTCTCACTGAGAGCATCAGGTATGTCGATCTGAAGCGAAGGATCAATGTTCAGGTCCACAGACACAGATCTCAGCTGAAATACATTTTTGAGTATTAGTCTCAAATTCACTTGGCCCTAAAAATTATCCTTCCAAAAATAGGAAGTAGTTACTGAAAAGAAGTTTATATATAAAGTCTACAGATAAAGCTTACATACAGAACAAAGTCATGAGACATCTCTAAGCTTATCTGAAACTGAGAGAAAACTGCTCTTCAAATGCATAGGTGTACCCGAAGTATTCCTATAATCTGAACAAAGCAACTGTTCTAATTCTAATGCCATGTATACACTGCGCATTTTTACGTCTACATGAAAAACAGATTTCGCCAAGTACTAAGGCTTGAACTAGACAGAATAAAATCCAGAATTTTTAACATAAATGTCATAATACAAAGAACATTTAAGAAGCATTAACCAGACCACACAAATATCTGAAAGGAAAAACCTGGGGGGTGGCACAGAGAACAATCATGCATAGTGTAAGATCCTGGGTGATAAATAAGAGTGGATCTATTTATGTTCAGGTACTGTTTCAAAAAGCTAAGAAATCTAGATAGGATGGGTGAATTACAAAAACTAAACATGGCTTTAATCTCACTATGGTTACATATGAGTGACAAATGTGAGCTCAGCCCTGGAAAGAAAATTAACTGATTTTGTGAGCTGGAAATTCAGAGGGAAAGATGTCCAACTCCATTTTTGCCAGTCCAAAAAACCCAAAAACAAAACAAATCCTTTTAAAGTATATGGAAAGAACACAGTGAAAGCACCAATAGGAACTGGGCTATCAGGGAAAACTGGTTAAAATGGTTTTCCTACTGAATTTAAAACAAGGTAAAGTCCTTAATTCTTAAAGCAGACAAGTTGGTGGCCTATTTTAAAGCCTGACACAAGAGGCATGAGGGACTCATGAAGAAGCATGTAGTTTCTCCATTCCTCCTCATACTGTAACCAGCACTAAAGTAAAATTGTCATAAACTCTAGATTACTCAACACAGGGAAAATTTCAAGTGAAGATTAGAGTTAAGAGGATGAAGTATTTCCCTATAACTAAATTTCTAGGCTGGGCACAGTGGTTCACGCCTATAATTCTGGCATTTTGGGTGGCTGAGGCAGGAAATATATTTGAGGCCAGAAGGTCGAGGTCACAAGTGAGCTATGATCATGCCACTGCACTCCACCCTGGGCCAGAGCAAGACCCTGTCTCTAAAAAAATTTTTTAAATTTCCCTGTGTATTATTTTCTTCAAAATAAAGTTTAAGTGCAGAAAAGGAGGAAACTAAACAAAGCGAAAAAGAAAAGCAAAATAAAGCTTAAGAAGTGTTGAATTCAGGCTGGGCGCAGTGGCTCACGCCTGTAATCCTAGCTCTCTGGGAGGCCGAGGCAGGCAGATCGTTTGAGTCCAGGAGTTCAAAACTAACCTGAGCAAGAGCGAGACCCCATCTCTACTATAAATAGAAAGAAATTAATTGGCCAACTAATATATATAGAAAAAATTAGCCGGGCATGGTGGCATATGCCTGTAGTCCCAGCTACTTGGGAGGCTGAGGCAGTAGGATCCCTTGAGCCCAAGAGTTTGAGGTTGCTGTGAGCTAAGCTGACACCACGGCACTCACTCTACCCTGGGCAACAAAGTGAGAAAAAAAAAAAAATGTGTTGAATTCAACCTCTAAAACTTGCAAAACAGCCCAATCAGCTACAGAAAGACTAAATATATTCATTAAAAATGCAAGTATTACTTCTCTCTCCCATTGTATCTTACAAGTTTTTAAGTACTTCCCTTTTTCTGTAAGCACTATCAGTAAAAAATAATAATTATGAGAACCGAAGTAGCCCTGTAACAATGGCTTTCTTCTAAGAAATAAGCTTCAAATTGTCACCAGAACTTGGTTTTATTAAAAATATCAGCTATTTAGTAGGATTACATTATGCTTAACAATAGTCCTGACATCTCAACTAAGTACTTTTCCTTCCAACTGAATTTATGACTCCTATGAAATATCTGCTTGTTTGGCTTAATTTTTACATGTTCATTTATGAGATCTCTGCAAAGAAAGATAAAGCTTCAAGGTCAGGGATACTCTAACTGTAACTGTAGCTCTAGCATATTTCTTGATAAAAGCTTCCTCCTCCTGATAAGTTACCACTGGGCAAAGATAGCCTTCAAAAATATCAAGATATAAACTGAAATGTGATTGCCAAGAAACACTGACCATTCTACCAATTTTATGCTTATCTGCCAGGGTCAGGCAAGTCCAAGTACAGGAATAAAGAGGACCAGATGTTAAGTGACAATGGACATCAGTGAGAGATGGGACAACTCATAGGATGAGTCTAAGGTGTATTTCACAATTCCTTAGATTCCATTTCCTAAAGTCAGAAATCCCAGTTTCTAGTACTTCCCAACTTAATGTGCTGACAATTCCACTTCAGCTCACTGCAAGCTGAGCAAACTATGAGCCTGAAACTCCACATGGGCTACCTTTGGAATTAGGGTGGGAGGTCCCAAGGGAGATGTAATCAGTTAAATGAGGTTCATGTAAGCACTACAATGGACACTACCAGCTGCTTTAGCCGCTTTTCATTCCACTGAATCTTCTGGTTTTGTCTCTTTTCCCATATTCCCAATCACGCAGACATAATACCCGAGACTGTATCTGTCTTCCTTTCTGGTCTGCATAGCAATATTTTTGTAGTAAAAGAGAGTGATGAAGACACAAAGGAATAAAGAAAACAACTAGGTTTTGAAAGACTACTTCTATAGCAGGGTATCAAGCATCCCAGCTTCTCCAGCAGCCATTTTTGCCTGGACATTTCACCCTACAAAGGGATTCAAACAAAAATCCAACCACTTGACATGACAGTCTTAACCACCAAATAAGCAAGTAACACACAACAGTCTGTATTTTGGCCTTTAAGAATTATCTGAGAGAATACTGGCAAAAAGTTGTGAAATGCTTAGAGCTCCTATGTCAGCATTTGTGTCCCCACTCCGGAAGCACCAAGCATGATTAAAAGTTCAGCATTCCTCTTTATGCTTTGACAACAAAACCAACACCCCACAGTCCCATGCCATAGTACTTGCTAAATAAAACCCCAGGCTCCAAAGTATATAAGGAGTAGGTGGCACTCTTCCCCTTTCACCCACCGCTATCCCCTAATCTTGAAGCACAGAGTACTGCTTAGCCCTGATGGTCAACACTGAGTCTCTGACTTGGGCCACAGAATGGATTTAAGTTTTAAAACTGACTTTTACAGATTTCCCTAGAAACCACTGCATCACATATCCAAAGTTTTAGATGGAGGTTCAGCTCCCAACATACTTTTGTCCTACCAAATCAATCCCTATAATAAAGAGTACAATTACTCTTGTTGCAGTAAGAAGAAATAAGGGGCAAACATGCATTGCTTCATTTAGAAGACACATTTTTAACTGCTTTAAGAAATCTGAATGCTTTTGGCAAAAGAACTAAGGCACTTCCTTGAAAGGAGAAAAACTGTTACGAGATCCCTATGCATTTTCTCACCTGTTCATCAGCTTCACTTTGGCACAAAACTTAATACCACCAGCAAAGCTCCCTCTTCAAAAGGGTTAATGGCTCACATGGCAAAGGGCACCTAGTGACTACACAACACAAAAGGCAAGACTCTCTGAAATTTGAAAACCATAAGGGGAACAAAAAAAATGCATACAAAAATGCAATTAATGTTGAGTTGTTATGGTGACAGCAGCCAAAATGACAAGACACAGGGAAAAAAAAAATTCCAGTCACTCCGATCTGCCAGGATGGGAGCTAGTTGAATAACTATTTAAATCTATTTAATCAGTTAATACAAAACTATTTCAAGATGTAAGAAGTTTATGCAATACACGATACTAGCCCTGCCCCTATATTTCCATGTTTATTCACATATCACAAAGGAACTACTACAGATAAAAAAGATTACTCATACACATTTTTAAGAGACAGGGTCTTGATATATTGGCTGGTCTCAAACTCCCAACCTCAAAGGATCCTCCTACTCCAGCCTCCCCAGTAACCTTATATATATTTAAAAATCTTCTAGTTGCCATTCCAGAAGCAGAAGACATGTACTCAGCCAGTAAGCTACAACAGTATGTCTTCCTTCAAACTGTTACTCTCCCCTCTAAGGATTTTTGCTTTGTTATCCTTCATCCTACCGCCTAGGGAATGAAAACTTCTCCCAGGGAGAGGGCCAATATAACAAATCATCCATGAATGGTCTGTTCACAGCATGGAGCCAAGAACCCTGCCTCCTTGATCAGATTTTCACTTTGATTACAGCAAAACAATTTCTGCTGGCAAGGTATTCACACCTTGCTAGGTTAAATACTCATTAGCAAGGAAATAAAAAAATGTTACACTACACTCAAGATTTGCATTAATTTTTGCAAATATTAAAGACCTACAGGATACATATTTACATGTATTACTTGGTTACTGTTTTAACTCACAGGAAAAAGTGCTCTAGGAAATTCTAATACCGCATCCTTCCCCAAACCCTGCTTTTATGGTTCTAGTATTGGTACTCTAAATCTGCAGCCCCCAATCCTGAGGCCCAGCACCAGTCCATGGCCTGTTAGTAAATGGGCCATGCATCACTGCCTGAGCTCTCCATCCCACCGACACTCCAACCCTAGTCCATGGAAAAACTGTCTTCCATGAAACCAGTCCCTGGTGCCAAAAACGTTAGGGACTGATGCTCTCAATTGCTACTGTTTTCTTCCATCCTGAAGATAACCAAACCAGTATCTGTATTCAATCCCAGCTTTTCATTGTGGCATGGGTCCAGAAAAACAGCTGAACTAACTTATAAGCAATATATTATTTCTGCTTTTACAGGTATACCCTCTCAACCACCCTTCCCCCAATTGGTTCTCCCTTTCTTTTCATCCAGGCAGCAATATCATATCTCAGTCCTCAACAGAACTAAGGACTTCCAAAAGATCTCAGTCTACTATCATAGATAATAGCTATAAAAGTCACACAGGTACAAGCTTAATAAAATGC